AAAAAAACATTTAAATTATTTAGTACCTCAGTATCACCACGAAGTTCAGAGGCTAGACGTTTATGAAGATCCTCAGAGTAGATAGCTCTGTACTCTTGGGCAATAAGCCCACGTTGTGTTGCATCCCTGTGAGCAAGGATATTCACCACTGCTGCAGTATCACACCCAAACCCTACACATGTGTCATCATTAATCAGAACTACATATAATTTCAATCTTAATTAGCCATTTTACTAAATAAGCAGAGATATGGCCATTTCATGTGTTAGCCAGCTTCCCCCATGTTTCGGCCCTGTAAGCAGGAACCATGTATCTTGTCTCACTAATACACACAAAACATAAACAGGCATATGCATATGCATTATAGGATACTCAATATTCTGGCAATCAACTCAATGAGATGCACTATATGCCAACTTAGTTTCCACTACAGAAGCTCTTTCAAAATTTAATTACACAACATTTCAAGTTTTATTTTCCCACAATTATGGTGGTATAAGAAATCAAATTCACAAACTATATATACCAACTTTATTAGCATGATACAGGTAAAGACCTCCAAGTTTTGACTGATGTATTCTATTAATTCAGTGATCTGTGCACCATTGGAACTGCAGATAGATATCTAATTTTAATCTTCGATTGATTACAAAAATACAAGTGAATATTTTTGCCACGCACCCAATATCACAGTGTAATGAACATTTGTTAACACATTGACTAACATCTTATAATGAGCATTTTTTTCAAAGAATATCTATCTTCTTATAATCAAAAGGGTTTTTACACATTAACACTGCACAACGTTTTCTTTCCCGATTTTCAACCTACCCAAACACACAAGATCAAAACCTTATAATTTTTCATACATATTGAGCGAACTGATTTTGTTGATCAAAATACTCTGAAAACGCATATTTTAGCAACAATAAACTAAAACAAGGAAACAGTGAAACAATTACCCTTGAAAGCACGGTAGAGCTGCATAGCGTCGTCACGCGGCGAAGTTAACACAGGTGGAATGGTCAACGTCGCCATCTCCGACAATATCTTTCCCTCGGAGAAAAAAACACACACGGGTTTTTACAGCAGAATTGATTATGTAGATCAACGAATCCACCGGAAAAAGCGTTTCGGTGCAGGTGGCTGAGAGGGGGCAACAGATCAAAGATTATGCGGAGTCGTGCAGAAATATAGATAGTTGGCGTACAACTTTTATAACCTAGAGAAATTAGGTGGCGATTGGTTTTAAAATTTAATTGTAATTGAATTTATTAGAAAAAGTGAGTTGATTTTTTTGAAAAAAAAAATAAATAAATAAATAAATAATTTGTTTGAATTGATAATAGATTTTGAGATTTCATTTAAATAATATTAAAATTATAATATTAAAATTAACATATGAATATTATTTAGTTATATTAATAAGTAATATTGAGTAAATTTGAGTTGGATAGAATTTAAATTTGTTTTTAAATTTAAAAGCTAGAAATAAATTATTTATTTTATACAATAGCCGCCTCTATTGAGGCAAGGATAGCGCGTTGAAAGATATTTGACCCATCATTTTCATTTTCCTATTTATTTATTTATTTATTTTTTAAATGGCTTCTTATCTGAAATCTTTTTTAAAGTTTTTATCTCGTCCAGATGCAAGACCATTCAAAAAGCTTCGAATAAAATTTAAAGACCCTTTCAAAGTTATGGAAGTCCAAATAGGAGGGAAGAAATAAGAAAATCAAGCAACATGTGATGGATAGTGTTGCTCAAATTTAATACTTGATTGTTCTTGTAAATTAATTTACTCACCTGCTCAAAATTAATTCAATTTTAATTTAATCTCACTATCTTTAATGTTATTCTTATAATTAAATAATACAAATTAATCATTCTTAAACATCACATCAACTTTATTCACTATTTATTCACTTATGAAATTTTAATTATCTATCATTTTCAATCACTTATCTCATATTTTTGCATCAAATTAATTTTCATCATTATATTTTAAATATTATTTTAATAGATTCTTAAAATTCGACTAACGACTAACAATACCACCATTTTCAAAATTAACTATAATTAACCAAAATAACTAATTTTTAACAAATTATGTATAAAAAATCAAGTTTCTAAATCACGTAAAAAAATAAATTTACTCCAATATATTCATCGTGTATACAAAAAAGTGAAAAACAACTAAAGAAAGAATTATCATTGCCCTTTAATTTCAATAATAAAAATTCAAGCATGCCTACTTTCGTCTTATTTTTTATAATCCACTAGTTTATGTAGTAGTAAAGAAGAAAAAAAGTAATGATGAAATTAAATTTTTATTTATTTACTTTTTATTTCACAGCAAACTAGTTTTTTTTTTTTTTTNNTTTTTTTTTTTTTTTTTTTTTTCCACAGCAAACTAGTTAAACACATAGTTTTTCCCAAAAATTGACTCGGACAGGTATCCGGATCACCAGTTCAACCGCTGGGTCACAGGTCAATTGTTGAACTGGATAATTAATTTTAAAAATTTTTAAATTATATATATAGTATTTTTGACATATAAATATACATAAAAGTAACAAAAAATAAATGTTTTGTATATAAAATTTGTACATCAAAGTGTTAAAAGAATTGTATCTCACAATAAATATTTACTATATATTTACATAGTTTTTATATTTTTATATAATTTTTTTTAAAAAAAAATATATATATGGACCGAATCAAGGTCGGGTTGGCCGTGTTTTGACCGGTGTTGACCGGGTTCATTGTTACAAGGTCAAAATAGTCCACCCAGACCGGTTCCAACTACGGGTCGACCGGGTCCTGGATCGACCCGTCGGGCCGGTCCGGGTTGAAAAACAATGGTTAAATATATTAACTCATTAAAGATACAATTGGGTAACAAATTGGCTACAGACCAAACCATCCTCTACTCTATGCATATCACTTTACTCCATCCCTAGCTGATGATCTTTGGCATTCACCAGCTAATTGCCCACAGGTTTGTTTCAAGTGCACTGTCGTCAAAGAGTTTTGCCTCAGTCTGATAGAAACTGTATTTAATTTTATTCGAAATAAATCGATATTAATCCCAAGAGCTTTCATATTGAATAATCGAGAATCATAACCGAATAACGGAAGCATACCTGATGAATTCATGTTGATTGATTAATTGGATTTGGAATTTGGAAATCTTCCAAAGACCGTGAATTATCTGTATTATTTCTTTAGACGTATACAGAAAAACTTATTCAGCTTGAACTGATGCCTTCCCCCTTATCTTCTTTATAATCAATGATTAGTACATTAATTGGAAGTGTCGGCAAACTACCCAACTATTTTCTCTTATTATATATATATATATATATATATATATATATATATATATATTATTCTTTATGGGGTATCTTAATGGGCATCACTTTATTTTCACGGCTTTTGGGGACTCCACCCATAAATAATTTTGACCCAAATTATACGTTATTTAGGTCAATTAGTTTAATATTATTATTTGTTACGTCACCAAATAATAATATTATCAGGTGTCCACATTTAATCATTCCACAATCTAAATTAAGTTCATTAGCCAATGTACAATAATTTGATCACTTTATTTTGGCTAAACAATATAATGACCCAATGTATTAATTACACATATTTAATCTCAAATAGATCTAACAATCTACCACTGTATTAAATATATCCTGATAATACATTATACCTTATGAGCTCAAAATATGGTCATTATTACCGAACTTAAACAATCTGGTCCATTAATCACAATAATATAGAACTAAAGCAGTTTTCGCTGTATAGACACAGCTAAACTATCAATAATCACATATATCACCATGATTAAATGACATAGATTAAACTGTGGAACATGTCACATGAAAATTACATGAATATGATCAGCACATGTCGACTTTCAACTAGTCCAAACCTTATGAGATCGTTAAGTACCAAAACATAATGTACAAAGTGTCATGAACCAAAACTTTATTTCTGATCAGAATAGGTACTTTAGACATCATCAAATAAAAATGACAAAAATATGTAGCAAATACTCCCACTAGGATGAAGCTTCCTGAATTGTAACACACCCATATGAGCAGTATGCTCGTAACATACCATAGGTGTTACACCTTTAGTTAGGGAATCTGCTAACATAGATTTTGTCCCTAAGTGTTCGATGGAAATTTGACCACTTTGTACCCTCTCCTTCACATCTAGGAACTTAATGTCAATATGCTTTGACTTAGACGAGCTCCTATTGTTGTTGGAGTACAGAATGGCTGACTTATTGTCACAAAAAATCTTAATAGGTCCTTCAACCTCCGGAATAATTCGCAGCCTTGTGACAAAATTCCTTAACCAAATTTCCTGTTGTGATGCTTCAAAACACGCCACAAACTCAACTTCCATAGTGGAAGTGGTAACAAGTTTTTGATTAGCACTACGCCAGGAAATGGCACCACCAGCCAACATAAATAAGTACCCAGACATAGATTTTCTACTGTCTTGGCACCTCGCAAAATCGGAGTCAGAATATCCAACGATCTCCAAATGGTCTGATCTCCTATATGTGAGCATAAAATCCTTAGTTCTCTTAAGGTATCTCATCACCCTTTTGGCTGCTTTGCAGTGATCCAATCCAGGATTACTAAGGTATCTACCCAACACACCAACTATATACGCAATATCCGGACGCGTACATACTTGAGCATACATTAGGCTCCCAACCGCCGAGGCATAATGGACCTTTTGCATTTCCTGGATTTTCAGATTTCCCTTTGGGCATTGACTTAGGCTAAATTTGTCTCCTTTAGCCACAGGAGTATTTCCTGGTTTGCAAATCTGCATGCCAAATCGCTCAAGAACTTTATCGATATAGCTCTTTTGTGATAACCCTAGAATACGTTGAGATCGCTCTCGGTGTATCTGGATTCCTAATACAAAAGATGCTTCACCAAGATCTTTCATTTCAAAATTATTTGAAAGAAATTTTTAATTTTCGTGCAAAATGCACATATCATTTGTGGCAAGCAGAATGTCATCTACATACAAAACCAGAAAAATAAATTTACTCCCACTGAACTTGTGATAAACACAATCATCAACAACATTCATCTCAAAACCATACGAGATAATTATTTGATGAAATTTGTGATACCACTGTCGAGACGCTTGTTTGAGCCCATAGATGGATTTTCTTAATTTACAAACTGACATAGCCCTATTATTATAGCCCGATTCAAATGTTAACTACCCGACTGAGCAAACACAAATGACGACATCATTAAGTCGACATTCCCGAAGTCGACTTGGCCCATCGGCCATTTGAAGACCATCATCGGCCTGACAACGACCTCAAGACGACTCTAGAAAGTCGACTGAGTATAAGATGATTTCTCTCAAGAAGACAAGCAGACTCTCCAGGAGCCCCGGGCGCATATATAACCCTAGGTCGACTTGGCAAGGCCCCAAGTCGACTTACAAGACCTCCGACGACTTGATACATAGGTATAATAGAGGGAGAATATCCAAGTGAGACTGAGTTCACATAGGATAAGAAGGAATCTAGATGTTGACTCAGGAGTGGGCGGAATGCAAACCGACCAGGGCATTTTGGACACTTCGTGTAAGTCGGCCAGGGCATTTTAGGTATTTCAAGTAAGTGTTCCTATTTCTATATAAAGGAGCCAAGGTAACCCCAAACCCTAACTTTCATTCTCTCCATTCATTATTCAGCTACTGCTCCTACTGAGCAGAGCTCGTCTTCTTCTCTCTCACTGACTCGAGCGTCGAAGGCTCTTCACCGGAAAACATCTCCGGTGTTGAGTTTTTGCAGGTGTTCGCAGCGGCTCACGGACGACTTGGAGACGGTTCAAACAGACCAGAGCTCATTTCTACCAGTCTACTCCAGATATAGGAAGAGACCCATCAAATTGGCGTCGTTTGTGGGGAGTTCTTGAAGGAAGTAAGAGCTTTGCACCTAGTTCTGATCTGTTTGACATGGCGGAGAAGGAAGGATT